CCTATCCAGGTTTTCCGGTCAGCCCAGCATTTCGCGATTCAAGCAGTCCATTCCAGTGATCCGCTCCAGCACTTACTATCAATCCACCAGGCCAGCATGCAGACGCAGACACACACGAAGGGTAGCGGTCAAGTTAGTTAACTGACTATTTGTTCTCTGCTCTGGTTTTTTGAGAGTGATATTTTTATTTGGTTTACACTCTTACTGTTTAAGTTAAGAGCACTGATGGCATTGTTTTAGGCACAATTAGTGAAATTGGAGCCATGGATGGAGTATTGCTTGTTTAAACAGTTTTTGTCCCCTCTGTCGGCCCCAGGAAACAGCAGCACCAGGCTGGCACAGACACTACAAAAATAACTGAAAAGGAAAGGCTGCATTGTTTGTTAAATGTCAACAATGTGTTGTGGTGTTAATCTTTTTTTATTTATTAGGGGGCCAAAGCACAAGTGTGTGGAGTCTTGCTGCTATTTTAATTTCAATGTTAGACATTTTAAAGATTTCTTGTTTTGATTTATTTTCTATTTATCAAGGGGCCAAAGCAGCCAAAGCAAAACAGCTATATTTTTTATTTAGTGTTAATGTTCAAGTTTAAAGTTTATTTATTTAACCCTATTAACAATAAATGGGTAAGTTTCTCATACCAACTGTTGTGGATCATTCCTGATTAAGTAGTTGTTCTTGTTAGAGTAATATCGCTTGATCAGATCTTTTCTAACATGACTGACAACAAAATAAGTGAATATGTATAATATGCGCTTGGATCGGATCGGTATCGGTATCGGCCAAAACTCAAGGCTGTAGTATTGTTATCGGATCGGAAGAGAAAAAGCTGGATCAGGACATCCCTACCAGAAACTCAGTATTTTTTTTTTTTTTTGCTTCAGTCAGCTGACAACATGTTAACAGTAAGCTGTGTCTGTATCTGTGTTGTAAACATTTGAACCTTGATTGAATTTCTGCCAGGATTCTTGACAAGAGAGACAAACTACTGTGTTGACTCTATTAGATTTAGTCCGCAGGCTCATTGGTGCTAGGGCTGCACAATTCTGGAAAACATGAGAATCACAATTTTTTGGCTTATAATTGAGATCACGATTCTCTCACGATTTTTTTCAACATAAAGATTTATTGTGCTTATTTCCTGATACAAAAGGAAAAGTAACAAAAATTATAAATAAATAATAAAAAAAAATAAAAAATAAAAATAAAAATATCATTAAATAACAAAACCTATGATTGTGCCTAATACACGAGACACAAGGCACATAAACTCTGGTCAGCAGAGAGGGAACACTCCTGTTTTTAGCTTAAATGCAACAGCTGAAGCCTGACACTGACCGTAAAAACAATAAACTTTAGTCTCTTGTCTTCTCTTACAGCTTTTGAACAATTTTAACAATAATATCAATGCTGAACAACTTTTTTCTGAGGTAGGTATTCGAGGCCTGGAATTAAATCATTTTTAGGGCAAGGCCACTTTGGCCTTTAATAAATGCAAATTTATTGGGGCATTATGGCCAAAATGTGGGGCACCAAGGCCAAAACCAATGGCGCAATAACAATATGTGCTAATTACATTGAATGAAGACAAAACAATGTATGTGTTGAAAAACAGTACTGAGTTTATTAAAACTGTAAACTGAAAATTTGACTTTTCCACAAAATGCTGTGTGATAAATGTTATTAAAATTAAATTAAAATGTGAACAATTCATAATATTCATTGTTATTTTTATGATAAAATAAAGTCTAAATGGACTAAGACTCAACACCATGCATTTGACAGGAGTATTCACCTAACATAGCCTACATATCTTTAATTATTTATATGTCTGTATATTTTTACATAAATCCCCAATATTTTATTTGCCTTTAAAAAAACTCCTCTTCCTTCATTTAATTTGACAGAGTTTATTGTATTGTATTGTATTATATGTATTAATTCTCTACAGGATCTTGTATGTTCTTTAATGTGTGTTCAATTTATAAGAAAAAAACAAAACGTTTTGGTGAACCCTGCAGCAAAGTGAACCCTCTTCCTCAGAGAGGATCTTTGCCTCCCAGTTTGTTCCTGGCGGCAGAGCAGAGTGAACCATCTTTCTTCTCAGAGGATCTTTGTCCCATGAGAGCAGGCAGTGTAAACAACTTTCGCTGGCGATTTGACAGTCACTAGAAGCACATTATGACCCTTTGTAAAAGTTTCTGTGTGGTACCTGTGTTGTACATGAGCTAACGTTAGCGGCTAAGGACCAAGAGGCTGTCCGGTATGTGTGTATGTGCGTGTGTGTGTCTGTCTGAGGAGTGTCAGTACATTAACTTGTAAGGGGTCCTCCTCATGTTGTCGGCTCTCTCCTGCTCTCGCTGCTTTCCAAACTGCCAGCCGGCTGTCGCTCTGCATCACGTGGTATGATGCTGCATCGTTGGGAGCGCTTCTTTTCATGCAGATGATGTCCCAACTCCCGGCACGGGCGGGGCCGGCAGAATTGCCGTCATTGAAAAATTATCGCGTATGCATATGAATCGAGATCACGATTTTATTACGATTAATCGCGCAGCCCTATAAGACAGTTGTTTGTTGATGAATGTTGTGAGTTGTAATGGAGCCAAATTATGTACTGTTACCTTTGTTAAATGTTGCTGTTGTCCCTGATTTTATATGAGAAGAGGAAAAGATTGCTAGACGCTAGGCTAATTTATACAATGTAAAATGCCATAGACTTGTGCTAATGATGTTAGCATGTTGTATTGGTGGGGGGAAATGTGCCCAGATAAAGGCAAGTGATTGTCTGTCAGTTGTGCGATTTATAGTGAAGCCAATTTGCATAGTTGTGTTTGAAATTCTCTATTAAGCCATATTTAATGTGTGTTTTGAATCAACTATATAAATAAAGTTTGATTTGAACTAAACTTTACAGCACTTAATACAGTCCTCCACCGCCGACTAGTGTTTTGGAGGTGTAACTGCAGAATGACACAGACACCACCGCAGAAGTAAAAATAACGTGCAGATTTTTTTTTCTTCCCATGACTAATCAATTAGTTGAAGATTATGTGTGACTTTAGTCAACCAAGATTTTCTTTGGTTGACTACAGCCCTAAATGATGCTTGTTACTGTGACTAATAATGACATCAGTAGGCTGAATGGAGATGATGTGTTGAATAAAATCATTTGGCTAATAAATAGGGCTGGGCGGTATGACCTAAAATTCATATCACGGTATAAATCGAATCCCTTCATGGTAACAGTATATATCGCGGTATAAATTTAAGTGTAAAAGTTATAATAGAAGTGTTTCTGAATGGGTTTTGTAGTCCCTTAGCAAAGCTAAATTGATAAAAAAAAAAAAACAACAACAACAAAAGCAAAGATATAACATATTTTTTAGAGCATTTATTGTGCAGAATGCAGATCTCAAAACTCAAAATTAAAACCCAGTACTCTATGGTGCAAAATGTCCCCTGGGATCTATATCAAAAGGTAATTTCCTTCTTTTAGCAAAATCCTAAATGACTGAGTTGTGTTTTTTCCACCTGGACCTTTATGCTCTGCCATTTCTCCTCTAATCATCACGCTGTAACCTGTGACAGGTTAGAGCGCAAATCTCTACCGTGGGCCAAATTTATATCATTTCTACCGTCTACCGCATATACCGTGCAGCCCTACTAATAAACTGCTTTTGTAGTCTGAAGAAGTCATGTCAAGATGAAGCTATAAGAGGCAATCCACTCTGCCAGAGATAGCTGTGGCCAGAGACACTCTGTTTTCAGGTCGACCGTCTGTCCATCCATCCGTCTATCCGTCCCATTCTTATGAACACGATATCTCCAGAACGCCATCAGAGAATTTCTTAAACTTTGACACAAACCTCTTTGTCAAATCTACTTTGACTTGACGATGAACTGGTTAGATTTTGGTGGTCGTCTGTCTGTCTCATTTTTGTTAACGTGGTGTCTCAAAACACCTTGAGGGAATTCCTTAAAGTTTGGCACAAACGTTCACTTGGACTTAAGAATAAAGTACTTACTTATACTTATACTTACCACTTAGGTGGTCAAAGGTCAAGGTCACTGTGACCCCATCCCTGGCTTCTCGAGAAGCATCTCAAGAACACCTTCAGGAAATTTCTTCGAATTTTACACAAACATCCACTTTGACTAAATGATGAACTGGTTAGATTTTGAAGGTCAAAGTTCAAGGTCACTGTGACCTCACATCTGTCTTAATCTCAATAGTATCTCAAGAAGGCCTTGAAGGAATTTTCTCAAATTTTACACAAATGTCCACTTAGATGCTATGATGAAGTGATTAGAATTTGGTGGTCAAAGGTCACTGTGACCTCACATCTGTCTTAATCTCAATAGTATCTCAAGAAGGCCTTGAAGGAATTTTCTCAAATTTTACACAAATGTCCACTTAGATGCTATGATGAAGTGATTAGAATTTGGTGGTCAAAGGTCACTGTGACCTCACAAAACAAGTTTTTGGCCATAACTCAAGAATTCATACTTTAATTATGACAAATTTTCTACAAATATCTAATAGGATAAAATTATGAAGTGATATTTTATATCAACGGTCAGCTTTACTGTGAAAAAACATTTTTCTGGCCATTATTCAACATCAATTTAGGAACAGAATGGGAGAAAATTGGTCAGATATTGAACTGATGTGTGTGTGAAGAATCTATGTCTGTGAGAACATGTAAACTGTAAGTGCAACTTGACTGGTTCATGGAGGCATATAACTGTGAGGTGGTAATTCTAGTTCTTTTTGTCCAATACTGTAATATTATCCATTCGCGGTCACCATCTTTCTCAGCTCAGCTGCCTGTTTTGCCAGTAGAGAGTGACCTCTGTGCTGTGCATTTCATTACACTGCCTCAATTCTGCATCAATACAGAGTATCTGTAAAATCATACCTTGGGGGATTTCTGAATATCATGTATACCATAATCCCTTGATACTGCCTAAGCTTAGTTATTTCCTTGTGTCATCCACAGCACTGGGAGGCGTTCCAGTACATCACAGAGATCTTCATCCTGGTACCTGCTCTCCTTGGCCTCAAGGGAAACCTGGAGATGACTCTGGCCTCAAGGCTGTCCACAGCGGTGAGACAAACACACACACTGTATTGCTCCACTTCACACCTCCCAGAGTAAACAGTGTAAAAAGGGAGGAGCAGTGAGGAGAGCGAACAGTGAACCACAAGCATGGGCATTTGCAGCATGTGATAACCCATAAACTGGTGTCATAAACCTGTGTAATTACAAGCCTGCCCACAAGTGCATGAAGCAGTTATTCAGCAGAGCCTGTGTAATATTTCTCCACGTCTCTGTGTTTGTCTCCACCATTTAAACAATGCAAAGGAGAAACAGTTAAAGAAGTGACAGCAGAATTCTGTCTTTGTTAGTTTTTTTTGGTGTTCCTGTTGGCTCCCGGCTCTCCGCATACAGGCTCCACATTCACAATGCTATGTCAGCACGAACAGCAGAACTCAGTGTGAGCTGATACTCGTCAGTGGTGTCCTAAAAAAACTGTCTGTCTTGGTGTTCATGTTCTCCTTAAGGCCCGAACATACTCAGGCGGAACATACGCGGAACGGATTCCGCGGAGGTCCGCGCGGACTCAAAGCGGACGTCCGCAAGGCCTGTGCGCGCAAAGCTCAGATTTTACGACCGCGCGGACTCCGCTCCGCACACCAGTGACTGCTTGGCATGTATTTTTCACATCGCAGGGATTTTTCACGGACATTTTTACAGGAAACTACAACGCGGAAGTGCGCTCGACTATGATAAACCCGAATGACTGCGGACATTCCTCGCGGAGTCCGTTCCGCTTATAGTACGCCCGAGTATGTTCGGGCCTTTAGACTCAGCTTTGAACAGTGATTCACATTGTGGGGAGTTAGGTAGCATGAAGACATTTGGAAGGGTTTCCATATTTTACCCAGCTGTTAAAGTTTAGTATCTCATAAAACTGCTGACTATGCGGTACAAAGAACCAAATTCTTTTGAAATGTGGACCAGAGAAACCAGAGAAAACGGGCTATGGTATTGGCTGTTGCTCAAGAGGAAGAAAACCTACCACCACCACAACTAAATGGTAAAAGCAGTGCTGATCAAGTATGAACCCAGATCCTGTAACTGTCTTTTCTAATTCTAACCTCAAATGTTTACATTGTTATTTAACTGTAATACAGGATTGTTGTTACCAGCTGGCTGCCATATTGTTTCCTGTTAAAAAACGGCCAAACTTGCAATACATCACCCACCAGCTGGAGCCTTGAAGGGGCTGTGACATATCTATAGTAGGGCTGTAGTCAACCAAACAAAATCTTGGTCGCCTAAAGTCGTACATAATCTTCAACTAATCGATTAGTCGTGGGAAAAAAAATCTGCACGTTATTTTTACTTCTGCTGTGGTATGTCTGTGTCACTCTGCAGTTACACCTCCAAAACACTAGTCGGCAGTGGAGGACTGTGTTAAGTGCTGTAAAGTTTAGTTGATTCAAAACACACATTAAATATGGCTTAATATGGGGCATTGATAGCGTAGTGGATAGTGCCGGCGCCCCATGTACAGAGGCAATGCCTCGCTGCAGCGGCCACGGGTTCAATTCTGGACACATTTCCCCCACCAATACAACATGCTAACATCATTAGCACAAGTCTGTGGCATTTTATATTGTATAAATTAGCCTAGCGTCTAGTTTAGTTCAAATCAAACTTTATTTATATAGTTGATTCAAAACACACATTAAATATGGCTTAATAGAGACAATTTCAAACACAAGTACGCAAATTGGCTTCACTATAAATTGCAGAACTGACAGACAGTCACTTGCCTTTATCTGAACACATTTCCCCACCAATACAACATGCTAACAACATTAGCACAAGTCTATGGCATTTTACATTGTATAAATTAGTCTAGCGTCTAGCAGTCTTTTCCTCTTCTCATATAAAATCAGGGACAACAGCAACATTTAACAAAGGTAACAGTACATAATTTGGCTCCATTACAACTCATAACATTCACCGACAAAACAACTGTCTTATACTAAACAAGTTTTCCAAGCAAATACAACATGCTAACGTTATTAGCGCCAGCCTATGGCATTTTACATGGTATACATTAGCCTAGCGATGAGCGGAGATTTCCTCTGCTCATATGAAACCAGGATAAATCCCTGAAGGATAAATCACACACACAACTTAAAATGCTATTTTAGTGGAATCTGTGAAATACAAGTAAATACAAGCTTCGTTTCCACTGAGGGAAACAGTGTCAGAAACTCAAGGAGGTCTGCGTCACCGCGACGCTGAGCATCAGGGTGGGCGAGTTCAGCTTTCTGTCAACAACTAACTTTTTGCTGTCTCTCTATTCTGTCCTATTTCCTAACACAGGTGAATGTGGGCAAGATGGATTCTCCCATAGAGAAGTGGAATCTAATCATAGGCAACCTGGCTCTGAAGCAGGTAATCACATTCAGTTTAGCCTGAAAACTACTGACATGCACACACAGCCAGCATTGCCAGATAGTATTCCTACTAAGCTGTTCACGTGGCTAATGGAAATTAATATTCTAATATTCCTATTGGCATGCAGCCATGCATACTCCCATTCACATACCCAGAGGTGGGACCAAGTCTCATGTCAAGACTGACAAGTCCCAAAATTACCAAAATTTACCTAAATTATTTCTGTTTTAGTAACAGTGTCATAATATTAAATTTGCAAAAATCATGATGGCTGCTTTATTTGTTTGTTAAAACAAGTTTGTTAGAAAGTTACTTAGTTGTTGAGCTAACATTAACTAAGCATCAGCTTGTTAGTTATGTTAATATTTGCCTCGACTTACCGCTCTTTGTGCACCTTTAAATGTCAAAGTTGGAAGTTGTTCCATCTCTATCTGTAACTTCTAACCTGCACATTTTTAGTAGTGTAATTCATTCTTTTTGTGGAACACTGCATAGTTTTTAACACAAATGAAATTATTGCACATCATGGACCATTTAGGGAATTACGTGTGAAGTTGTTGGGAATGAATCGCAGTAATGTTGGTTGATTCAGGAAATAAGGGGGAGTTAATTGATCCGTGTCACTTTTTTTGAATAACATACTTTTTAATCTTTGGGCCTGGGGGAACTCAGCCTCCCTCATTCATTCCTTCAACCACCTTCTTGAAAAGCGATTGGTGTCATAATATGTGCACATAACCAAAAACGTGTTATTATTCAAGTCTTTCATAATGTTTAAAAGTAGGGGTGGCTGTGGCTCAGAGGTAGAGCCGGTTGTCCACCAATTGGAAGATCAGTGGTTCGATCCCTGGCTCCTCCAGTCTGCATGTCAAAGTATCCTTGAGCAACATACTGTGCTTTTCTTTTGGGCATGCATCTCTAACCCACAACTTTGGTAACTGTTCATTAGTTGGTTTGTGTATGGCATATCCATGACAACGCACAGTAGAGTTGGGCGGTATCCAAATTTTGTTACCGTTAAACCTTCCCCACATTTTCCCAAGGTATACGGTATAACTGTGACTAATTAAAAATCACTTTGAAGGGCTCAGAGGGAGTTGACAAAATGTCGGCTTGTACCTATACCAGAAACATAATAACAAACATCACATAGGCCTAAGAATACTGAAAAAATAACATAAACATGTAGAACACTAACAACTTTTATTAACAAATATTAAGTCCACTTCAAAAAGGTAACAATAAATAACAAAGGCAATAACAATAATGTGTGCTATACAGCGTATCCTCAGACCGCAGCAGCTACTGTCTGATGGCTTATTTTTAGAACCTATCAACATAAATCAAATAAATTAAAGCACAGCTCTACAGCATCCAGTACTAGGACTTCAAATCAAATAAGAAAAACAGAACAATAAATAACAAGGCATAACCGAAAATGGGCATATATAATCCTATCCTGAGAAAACAACAGGAAATACTGTTCGTTGGTTTATTTTTAGAGCCTACCTTTAGTTAGTTTTAGCATTCTATGCTTCAAAACTATTCAAGGTTTTTCGCCAGAATGTTTACTTTATCCAGCTGGAGCAGGGCACGTAGTGGATTGACAACTTTGGCCGCGGTGCTGACGCACCGCTCTGAGGGAGAGCTTGTGGCACAAACGCACAGATATTTTCAGGCAGCCCTCGACATCAGAGGAAAATGCCTGGCTCCATCACATTTCCACCTGAGAAGGGGGGTCTTCGTCTCCCTGAATAACAGGCTCACGACAACAGGCCGTTATCTCTGCTCCTGCTCGCTCCTGTATGGTGCCGACCGGACCTGCCACCGCATCGGCTCTTCTTTGAAGGAGACTGCCCAGAGTCATCTGTTTTTTTGGTGGGTCGGGTTGCACTTCTCCCTCCTCCACTCTGATGGCCACTGGACCTGCTGCTGCTGCTTGCAGAAGTTGTGAAGTTGTGGGGTTTTTGGGGACCAACTTGCTTGATGTGCGGCTTGCCATCTTTTCTTCTATTTCACACATCTGAGCTGTCACGTGACGACGTCACATCCAAAAACTTTATCAAATGTCATCTCCCGACAACAGTTAAGGGCAGTTATAAGAGCAACATTATAGCCTACTATTAGTTTTAAATTGTAATAGTATTAAATTGAAAACTCAACAACACATACATAGGTGCTGGACAAGCCCTCATTATTTAGGCATTAAATAAATTATATTTAATATTATATTAGGTCCCTATAGGCCTATATGGGCGGCAGATTTTTTTTTAATGACGGTAATGAAACTGATGCCGTTGGTATTTTTAGATACCGCAGGATACCTTATTATAACCGTATTATCGCCTAACCCTAACGCACAGAGCCGACTGTAAAGAGACGAGAGGCTGTGTGTCGTAAACTGCAGTAAAAAAACCCAATCGTGATGCATATTCTGAATGTGTTGTATACTAGAGCTGGGAATCACCAGGGGCCTCATGTACAAAGGGTGCGTACACACAAAAACGTGGCGTACGTCCTTTTCCACAGCAAAGTTCAGATGTATCAAGAGTGAAATGACCGTGGAAATGTGCGGTGCCGTTTCTACAGCTGTTGATCCTTTGGCGACACTTAGAGGTGATGCTGGGAAACTGTTGTAATAAATAAATGTGAAAACAATTAGTCCTCAGAATGATATGCACATCAGAGAAACATGAACAATTAACACTGATGAACAATTAACACACCCATGTGTCTGCAATTAGATGAGCGGATATAAAAGCATGCGCAAAGTGGTGCCGAAAATACCGTTAACAACAACGGCTGCTTTAGCAGTATTAGAAGATTTGTAAATGGCGCAATATGAAGAGAGCGTGTGTTCAGAGACAGATGGCTCCCGAGGCCAATCCTCCTGGAACTGTGCGCAGAGCTGCAGCCGGCAGCACGACACGGCGAGGAGCCATGCGCTGCCTGTATCCATACAGGTGCTGACCACACTGGGGTTCCTAGCAACAGGGGCATTCCAGAGTAGGGTTGGGTACCATTCATAATTGAACCGATACAGTACCAGTACCGGTATCTGGAATTCGGTACCGGTACCAAACGGTACCTTATTTCGGTACTTTTTAACCCTATGGGCCCTAGGCTTTTTTGGGGTATTTTTACTGCCTTTACTTTTAAGCTCATATCACAGTCATTATAAAGGCTACATACACATGCTATAGCTTTTTTTCAGGACAATCAGGGCTAACCAGATTTGCCATCATTTCATGTCCTTCTATGTGCCTGTATTTTATATTAATTTTCATATCAATGAAAAAAACAAATCTGTGTGCCTATATTCTTACATTTTTACATGTATCTCACCATAGCAAGTTGTAAAAAGACATATTCTGCCATATATGAAGAGGGGAGACTCTCTGGAATCTGGCAATATAAGAACCATGACGGTGGGACATTCTGTCACTTCACAGCTGTCCAAAACATGTGGTTTGTGCCAGGCGGACATGCCAGTATTTTTTCATTATTGGAAGAAATTCCATTGACTCATTCACAAGTCAAAAATGTGTTTTATCTGAAAGAAACATGCAATATTTACATCTAAGATCATAGAAAAATAGTCAACCAAGTGCAATGATAATATTTGTTTTTCAGTTTCAGTTATATATTGGGGAGACATTTTGGGCATTGGTGGGGGGCACGTGTCCCCCTCAATGTATATGGTGACTACGGCCCTGTCAGCATGCATTAGGCTGCAGTTGTCTGGGTGCGCAAAGGTGAAGTGGCTGGTCTTGTCATACAAAGTTTGATGGAGTGTCAACTGGACAATATGGAGATATTTGCATCTTGAAAGCCGGACTACAAATGTGGATAGACAGGGAGAAACACACGCAAGCCTAAGACATGGTAAGATACGATATTCCTCACTATATGAAGTGACTGA